CGATCTTTGTATTAATAATTATAACAAACTAGTGGAGTAATTTCACATAAAAAATAATAGAATATTAATTCAATAAAAATGTAAATTATATAATGTGTTCGTTTTATCGGAACTTACCCTAACGATCAGATCGAGGCGTGAAAATTGGCGTTAGTAACGCCGGAGTAAAGCAAAACACCTAGGCCTTAACAAAAAGTGGCGCCTACGCCTACAAGATACTATAGTACACTTCATTTCACTGGTTAAGTTATATCTACGCATAAAGTTGAGCACGACATTTTGTGAATTACTAATAAAACATGGACATTTTTAGGCCAGCCGGTGGGAAACGAGTTACACTGACGCCTCGCCACTGATAACGATGCAAAGCTGAAAATTTGTCATTTTGCCACGTTTTAGTTAGTGGACAGCAGATATACGTATTTAACAAAACGTTGATTGAAGTGCTCTTGTAAAATTTTGTAGACACGATCGAGAAACTAACATTTAAGGTCGTTATTTCTCTTTCCCGTTAAATTTTACCGCTTCGTAATTATATGGGCTTAAAACTTCGTCAAGAAGAGTTCAACTTTGTGCTAATTTGTCAGGAAGAAAGATTTTCAAGGGACTTCTGAAAGACATGACCTGCCTCTATAATAAGATTCCTGTTAATGTTCAATATTTGCCATTTACGACTTTTAAAACTGTGGTGAAACAAAAAGTTCTGCGTACTTGGATAACAAAAATCCGTGGTAGTGACCCGTTTAGGCCTTACAAATTGTCTCTATCTATAACATTTGAAATAAATATTATAATTAGATCGATCGATGGATTTTTTTAGGTGTTCGATCTTTCTATATGAAATATAATAATTATGACAAACTAGAGGAGTAATTTTACAAAAAAACAATAATCTCAGTACAGAGTACTAAAAAAACCGACCTCAAAAGTACGTGGAATTACGTCTATTTGTTAAGTTTTATTGAAATATCCCCTAGTTCGCCACTATATAGGACTTGACACTGGAGATAATAATAATCGGTTCTCACTACTCAAAGCATATTGAGAGAAAAATGCCTTGAATTGGACAAATAGCAAAATCAACCATTAAAATAATTGCTCCTAAATTAAAGTTAGGCGCTATTTATAAAAATGAATCTTCATGTGTGAACAGCCACCCCTCGAGGTGGATGAATTTCTTCAAAACGAAATGGGACCACTATGGAAATACCCCCTTTCCAACAAAAAAAGAATCATGAAAATCGGTTCACAAATACCGGAGTTATCGCGTAACATACATACAAAAAAAAAAACAGTCGAATTGAGAACCTCCTCCTTTTTTGAAGTCGGTTAAAAATTGAATATCAATTCAACAAAAATTTAATTTACAATTAATAGCGACATTTCTAGCCAGGGCTGGTAGCTGTAAAGGCATCTAACTGGTACACGAAATACTTTCACAGATTTCTCATAGATGGCGCTACGGCTAAAAAGTAGTTGAAAACCAAATACAAAGATCCGACAACAAGCACATAGAAAAATTGGTGAGATCCGCAGGTTCGTTCCGTGGCTTAGTTGGTATAGCGTCTGCCACGGTATGCAAGAAGACGTCGGTTCGAATCCGACCGGATCGAAGGAATTTTTGACGGACTAGTGGAGTAATTTAGTTAGTTAGTTTATTAATTTAAATCAAATAGATACGTAACATCTGCACCGTTTGTACAGTTTTTGAACATCATTACACGTTATATAATCTGCACATGTTTTTAAATGTGTTAATAACTGATTTAAACTAATTAAGGTATTAGGAAATGAAACTATTTTTCCGGATTTATATCGCGTATATTTGTTTTTTCAAACAAACCGACGTTTCGGGCCCTTTACAGGTCCCATGGTCAAGGTTGACTGATTTAAATCCGGAAAAATAGTTTCATTTCCTATGTGTAACAATCGCGAAAACCTAAGATCTCTATATATATAAATACATGTTATCGATTATATATTCTATAATATATCATTAGTTATATCTTAAGTATATGTTATTAATATATGTATCACCACGACAAATAAGTTATTGTAGACTTTAATTTAAACTTTAATTAAAAATTAATTTAAAATTCTCTAAGGTCACTACTAATTTTGTTTTGTTCTGTTCGTTTATAAGGCTTCAAAATTTATGTCAATGTGGACAACTATTTTGGCCTAAGTTATTTAAGACAAATATTGTTTGTTGTAAGATGTATTTAAGATGGTTGCTGTTATGCCTTAATAATAAAATAAAATAAAAAATTCACGTAAAAAATAATTGAATAAAAATTTAATTTAAATTAGTAAATGCCATCACTATCTCGCGCTATGATTGTGGATAGTGAAGATTCAATGCTGTTCAGTTCATCTAGCCATAAAAACACGGCTAAAGTAACATCCCGTAAATTATTATTATTTAATATTTAAATGGAAGAAGTGTCGGATGAAACTCATGGTACCACGATTTCGTTTAACCAAGGCAAACGACTCTTTATACGTTTTTACAATAAGATTCCGGAGCATATATTTAAAAACTACATTAAAAATATTTTGATTGAAAAGTCATACTACGACACGGCTCCAGAATCCACACAAATTTGATTCAAAGTGTATTCCACAGCATTTCAGTCTATTTGAAAAGAGCAATCCCTAGAGTTTCTTGCTCGTTCTTCTCAGGGAGGTCAGCGTAGTGAACGAGCGGTAACTTAAATGTGACGTTTTCAAGTGTAAATTTATTTTATCTATGTTTTATAATAATATACAATAGTTTGTTATAATTATTAATACAAAGATCGAACATTCAGAAAAAACACTCAGAAAAATTCCTTCGATCCGGTCGGATTCGAACCGACGTCTTCTTGCATACCGTGCCAGACGCTATACCAACTAAGCCACGGAACGAACCAACAGACTTCACGAACTTTTCTATGTGCTTGCATCGTGTCTTTGTACTTGGTCTTTCAACGACTTTTTAGTCGTATAGATATAGAATTTTTTCTGAGTGTTTTTTCTGAGTGTTCGATCTTTGTATTAATAATTATAACAAACTAGTGGAGTAATTTCACAAAAAATAATGAATATCAATTCAATAAAAATTTAATTAATATACAATAGTATTTCCATTAAAGAGTATAATGCACTATGTAGGCAGCAATAAGGTTCAATATAACATCAACAAATATTTAAATTTTCGCCTCGCCCATCCTCGTCAATCCAGACCATTGCCACTGACGGATTTAATATTTTGTCATACAAATTTCAGTCCACGTCGCGACTCGCCGATGGTAAACCACCATAAAACTGAAATCGTTCTCTGAGTGATCAAGAATACATACAAAACACACAAATATTTTGCACTAACATCATTGACTTACAATTATATGGATGTCGGGTCCGCGCTAAAAAGTGTCCGCACTTGTAAGGCGCTAAAATCGTATACAGAGCGCCAAACTCCGCTTTAGTCTTCATTTGTTCTACTGACAGCGCGATACTGCGATGAGATTACAATTTAAATTTCGAATAGGTTGACTTGGGACATTTTTTTCGTGGTTTTTGTATTAGACCCGTCGTCCATTTATTTGTAAGTCAATGACTAACATACATTTTTTATATAAAAATACATTTTTTTTAACCCACAGACAAACCATTTTACACATATTTTTCTATAAATCTAGCTATAATTATCGTCTCCTGACTTTCTCAAACTCGTATCTTAAAGCACAAAAGTTACTGAAAAGCCATAAAGGGATTGTATAAACAAATTTTGCAGGTTGATTTGACATCACATTAACCTTCATATATTTATACACTAGCTTTTACCAATACTTAAAGTAATGCGTCCAAATTAATACCCTTGATAAGAAATTTAAAATAAATAGAAAGTTTGCCATCTCCTGAATAATTACTCTTTATAAGATACCAGTTTGAGACAGTAAGGCATCGATATGTCATTTCCGTACGCCGTGTGTATAGTTTTTATACTTCAGTGCATTGACTTACAAAAAAATGGACGACGGGTCTAATACAAAAACCACGAAGAAAATGTCCCAAGTGAACCTATTTAAACGTAGTGACATGTCAAGGAATATGAAAAAGCTAAAACGTTGAATTTAAATTGTAATGTCATCGCAGTACTGTCTAATTTTGCTTGCTTCGCTGTCAGTCGAACAAACGAAGACTAAAGCGTGAATGACGCTCTGTATACGATTTTAACGCCCTATAAGTTCGGACACTTTTTAGCGCGGACCCTACGTCCATATAATTGTAAGTCAATGCTTCAGTGGGTAATTTTCTTTCAATTCGACAATATTGGCGAACTTGTGTAAAGAACTTACTTGTAAAATATGCCTGTCCATTCTTTCTCCGTTTTGTGGGGCTAGCGGAAACATTGTCACCCCGTGATCGTGTGGTAATGGTTGAACGGGACAGTAACCGCCACCTGGTAATCACAAAGGGTTTTTCTTAGTATATTAACACCAATCCTTACAAATTACTATTGCAAAAACCGTAGATATAGATTAGATCTTATTGGAGGAGGTTCTCAATTCCACTGTACGTTGTGTATGTTCTTCCACGGGGTGATTCAACCCAACTGAAGTTTTTTTGCAATTTCAAAATGATTTCTGTAATCAAAGGTCATTGCATTGATAGTTAATAACTTTAGTTACGTAGCGTACTATAGAGAACGTTAACGTTCTTTACAGACGGCCTACCATAACTTTTCCATAAACAATCTTATTTCAATGTAAGCTTAAAGTATACTTATTATAATATTACTCATATTCGTACCATGACGAACCTGTCAGCCAAGCAACGTACTTATTGTAAAGTGACTGAAAGAACGAATGATATCCCAATATTGTCTATTCCTTACTAAAAGTAGGAAATAAATAACGCTATATGAACTGTATAATGCCATCTCTTTATTTTTTGATGATCCGAATCGTGTTATCGTAGTATAATGTTAAAGTACTTAATATTATTTACATTCAGAGAATTTTAACTGCCAAAACAATAAAAGTATGTAATAATGAAATCTATTAAAATTATGTTGTTTTCCGCATTTTCATGAAGAAAAATAAATAAAACAAGCTGAGTCTTGATTGTCACGTTGTGAATTCGGAATTATAGTCTATTGTCAACTGTTAGTTTCCCCAAGTAGCTTACAGATGGCGCTGTCATAATTTTACGAAAGAAACATCACGTATTTTTATTTTACGAGAAATTATTTCTTATGTGCTATTAAATAAAAAACAAACACAATATTGAAGAGATATATGTAAATAAATAAGTTCAACTTATTACAAATCAATATTAAGACAATAAAACTGAAAATAATATTGTTTCCATTGCATCCGTGTAACTATTTTAAGATTGCTAAATTTGATATAAGAGCAATATTACCTACTTTAATGTTAAAGTCGCGTCATATTACGAACTGAGTGAATGAATAGTCACAAAGCTGCCAATAAACGAAAAATACAACGTTAACTTTAATTCGTTTGTGGTGAGGGTCCCAACGGTCCATCTGTCGACCTTCATGCAGGTAGAGTTTTGGCCGAAGGGTGTCATGTTCCGGCGGTTCAGAGGAACGATACATGACACTTGTTTGCGTCGCACGTCGCCGAATAGTAATTCGTGTAAATAGTTAATAAGTTTATATTATTTTATACGTATGTTAGTTTGTAAGGTATGTATCAATAATAATAATATGTATGTTAGTCTGTAAGGTATTTGTTATATGGGCCTTAGTTGCCTGAAATAAATGAATAAATAAATAAATAAATAAAATAAAAAATAAAACATCATAGGAATGAAACTATTTTTCCGGATTTAAATCGCGTATATTTGTTTTTTCAAACAAACCGACGTTTCGGGCCCTTTACAGGTCCCATGGTCACGGTTGACTGAGGTGGTACAGTCTTCAACCAGTTATGTCTAATATTGATGCAAACCACCCTATTTTTTCACTATAGTTACAATAGTTATTAATTAAATACCTTATTTTTAATTTTACAAAGAAAACATTCCAATTTACGCTACATTAAGTGGAATCCTCCACGCCAATGCCGCAGACCCCGTGTGAAACCACCAACAGTCGAGCGAAGACCTGCCATCTTACCTTACGTGAGAGGTGTTACAGACAAGATCGGAAGAGTCCTCAGGCGCGCATCTATCAAGACCTATTTCAAGCCCCTGAGGAAGATTTCTCAGTTCCTGAGACCCGTGAAATGTAACATCCCCTTACAGGATGCAGGAGTTTACAAGCTTGACTGTGAGTGCGGTCTCTCTTATATTGGACAAACAAAGCGAAGTATTTGTACCCGCGTCAAAGAACATATAGCTGATGTCAAACACCGTCGCGCAAACAAGTCTGCAGTCTGCGAGCATGTCATGGATAAACCTACACATTCAATGAAGTTTGACAAACCCCAGGTCCTTGCAAAAGAAGTCCGTTATCTGCCCAGGATGCTGCGAGAGGCCATTGAAATTAAAAAACATCCTAATTTCAACAGGGAAGATGGTTTCTCCGTACCACCAGTTTGGGATCCAGTATTTCCTCTAATGAAAAATCCCAAACAGACATAAGACTGCAGTACTAATTAATATGTTTTAATTTAATCTAATTTCTATTAATAATTAATAATAAATTAAACTTAATAAACAAATTCATTCAATAAAATAATTTGTAAAACTTAATGTAGCGTAAATTGGAATGTTTTCTTTGTAAAATTAAAAATAAGGTATTTAATTAATAACTATTGTAACTATAGTGAAAAAATAGGGTGGTTTGCATCAATATTAGACATAACTGGTTGAAGACTGTACCACCTCAGTCAACCGTGACCATGGGACCTGTAAAGGGCCCGAAACGTCGGTTTGTTTGAAAAAACAAATATACGCGATTTAAATCCGGAAAAATAGTTTCATTCCTATGTATAACAATCGCGAAAACCTAAGAACTCGATAAAACATCATAGTTTTAACATTACAATAAGCTTACTTTAAGCGCGTTATGGTACGAAAAGTCAATGTAAGGCTAAAGTAATATTGTTTTAAGAGGCTGTGGTAGGCCCCCATGACTTCACAAATTAATTTAACTCTTCCATGTACGTAGATAGTACCATAGCATCATTGAATTTTATCAGTACGTTGTTGATATTTCTCCATGGGAAAGCAGTAGGTGGCAATTACACAGACCCGTTGTTGTTTCTTTGAGATCCATATAGCGAAACAAGTACAACAAGTAAACGCCGTTACTGTCCATGCGCGAATTAAAATTTTTCCTGTACTAATACGGTTTAGTAAAAAATCATCGGTTTATGTCTTTACATATACCGATGATTTTTTAAGTACTTATTGAATTACAGCGGTTTTCTTGTAAAATTTCGAGGCAAGTTTGTGTTTTTTTTTCTATCGTGAATATTTTTAGGAACCCTGTTTTCACATCGTGTATGTCCTTAATTTTACTATATACTTTTTCCAAAGTGATTCTTGCAACACTTTTACTGTTATAAGAAATCAACCAAAGTGTATTATAGACTTAAGAGTAATGTTACGGACGGCCGTACGCGCCTGGCCGGTCAGAGCTAGAGTTCAGAAGAGAATGAGTAATTCAGGAGCTCTGATTGGCCGAGCGGCGTAGCGACTCATTGATAGGACCGGTACGGTGTGGGAGACACCGTACTGGTATAAATATAAGCGATAATTGTCATTCGAATCAATCACTTTGTAATCACTTTTGAAACACTATCAATCACTCTCACTTGTTATAATTAGTTGTTTTTGTAACTCAGATCGACAAATATGAATATACAGTCCACTTCAGATTAAGGAAGTTTAATTGATATCGAAGGAAGATTAAAGAAGAAGTTCAGTTTGGCTGAATTTTACAACAAGTAATGTAATATTATATATAACAAAGTTTCGAATGTATTCAAAATTTATTATTTGCGAGGTTTAAGGGCCGTATTCTAGAACTCTACTCAATGCTCAAGTCAGGATTTGAGTATGGTTTAAAGCATTCGAAATCATACTCAAGTCCCTGCCATTAGGGTCGTATTTCCAGTACTTGTGTTTCCAGTGCAATCCTGACTTGAGCATTAAGTAGAGTTCTAGAATACGACTCTGAAACTATAGTGAAATAAATATTTTATATGTAATTTAAATTTATAATTTCTATCTACGACATTTTAAAATAAATATATTATCAACAATAAATGTGAACAAAATTATTTTGATAATGGTCAACCCCTAAAGTTTTTTACTCGTTTTTCTCAAAGTAATTAGTTTTACTTATGAATAGCAGTGTCCAATCAATTTGAGATTTGAAATATGAATTTGTGCAAATGATTTTGAATTGGTAGTCTAACCTTCTAACTCGTACAATGCCTCGTTTTCGAAGTTACAGTCGCTGGTTATATGCGCAGGTTGCGCGAACACAGGCTCATCACACGACGTCATGGCTGATCTGCGAACAAACCATACATTCTTAATTTTTAAACTATAGATGCTACGGTGCAGCAGTATGCAGTCGACGAAAAGTCGTCGCCTTACTTGCTCAAACTCTTATCTTAAAGTACAAAGTTACTGAAATGCAAAAAATGTATTGTATACATTGACTTACAAATAAATGGACGACGGGTCTAATACAAAAACCACGAAAAAAATGTCCCAAGTCAACCTATTTAAACGTAGTGACATGTAAAGGGATATGAAAAAGCTAAAACGTTGAATTTAAATTGTAATGTCATCGCAGTACTGTCTAATTTTGCTTGCTTCGCTGTCAGTCGAACAAACGAAGACTAAAGCGTGAATGACGCTCTGTATACGATTTTAACGCCCTATAAGTTCGGACACTTTTTAGCGCGGACCCGACGTCCATATAATTGTAAGTCAATGATTGTATATAAATTTTAATATCAATTCAATAAAAATTTAAATCATTCTCGTCGAGTCTTCTCGTCATCTATACCACAAAGTCTGCAAACAAAGGTTTTCAACCAGTACGTCCTGCCTGTTATGATTTACGGAGCCTAGAAGTGGACACTCACGATACGGCTAGTCCACCAATTTAAAGTCGCTCTGCGAGGTATGGAACGGGCTAGGCTCGGAGTTTCTCTGAAGGATTAAATTCGTAATGAGGTTAAACGACAGAGAACTAAGGTCACCGACATAGCTCGTGCAATAAGCAAGAAGCGGTAATGGGCTGGCCATATTTGTCGAAGAACCGATAATCGATGGGGAAAACGAGTTCTAGAGTGGAGACCGCGACTTGGCAAACGTAGTGTAGGACGCTCTCCGGCCAGGTTTAGTGACAAAAGGTGACTGCAAAAGGTTGCTGGTGGGAAATGGATGCGGCAAGCTGAGGACCGGGCGAAATGGTGCACATTGGGGGAGGCCTATGTCCAGCAGTGGAGTGCGATAGGCTGATAATGATGAAAAAAATTTAAATACAATGAATAGCGACATCTTTAGCCAGGGCTGGTAGCTGTAAAGGTATCCAACTGGGTGACGAAATACTTAAAATTTCTCATAGATGGCGCTAGACTAAAAAGTCGTTGAAAAAACCAAATACTATATATTTTTTAGCCGTGGGGCGACGGCTTAAGAATACATTGTCGCCTCCCCATACATGCTCGTGGGGGTCGTAAGAGGCGACCGAGGGCGTCACAAGTGTCCATCTGCTTAGCATTGTGGTAGGCTCTGTGCCGACTGGATAGCGACCACAGTACACACGGCGGAAAACCCTCCACAGTGAAACGCTTTTGCGAATCGCGTTCAGGGATCAGTTGGTGTACATCCAGTGCATTTGGCCAGACCGGCAAAATGATAGTGACGGAGTGAAGATATTTGTGTTTTCCATCCGTTACTCTCATCTCTGGACTGTATTCGCACTTTCCATCAGGCGCGGTGCAGTCATTTTGTCGAGTCGCAATAAAAAAAAAAAAAAAAAAAAAAAAAT